CCATGGACCCAGGAGCACCCATGGGTGCCCCAACCCCAAGCCACCACCTCGGGCCACCCGGGGAGGTGACAGCCACCCCGGTGTCCCCAAGCACCTGCTGTTGTCACAGAACTTGATGACGTTGTTGGCGTTGGACGTCTTCTGCGTGTCCATGATGCTCTCAAAGAGCGACTTGGGCAGCTCCTCCCCATCCAGCACCAGGCGCCCCTTGAAGAACCAATGACGACTGTGCTCGCTGTTGGGGACACCGGTGTCACCTCCCATGGGGACGTCACCGGGACCGTGTCCCCCTCTTGGGGACAATGGGGACCTGTTGGACTGGGCCAGGTCGAAGATCTCCACGGACGTCGGGTTGCGCCCAACGCGCTGGAAGAGCCGCGTGTAGTAGTCGAGGTCCCACTCGTCGAAGGCCAGGCCTGGGGACAATAAGGTGGCACCTTGGGGACACCCGTGTCCCCTCCATGTCCCCCCGTGTCCCTTTGTGTCCTCCATGTGCCTTGATGTCCCCCCCATGTCTTCATATCGCTCAGGTTCTGCAATGTCCCCACCGTGTCCCTCCATGTCCCTCCATGTCCTTCTGTGTCCCCCATGTCCCTCTATGTCCTTCCGTGTCCCCCTATGTCCCTCTATGTCCTTCCATGTCCCTCCGTGTCCTTCTGTGTCCCCCATGTCCCTCTATGTCCTTCCGTGTCCCCCTATGTCCCTCTATGTCCTTCCGTGTCCCCCTATGTCCCTCTATGTCCTTCCGTGTCCCCCTATGTCCCTCTATGTCCTTCCGTGTCCCCCTATGTCCCTCTATGTCCTTCCGTGTCCCCCTATGTCCCTCTATGTCCTTCCGTGTCCCCCTATGTCCCTCTATGTCCTTCCGTGTCCCCCTATGTCCCTCTATGTCCTTCCGTGTCCCCCTATGTCCCTCTATGTCCTTCCGTGTCCCCCTATGTCCCTCTATGTCCTTCCGTGTCCCCCTATGTCCCTCTATGTCCTTCCGTGTCCCCCTATGTCCCTCTATGTCCTTCCGTGTCCCCCTATGTCCCTCTATGTCCTTCCGTGTCCCCCTATGTCCCTCTATGTCCTTCCGTGTCCCCCTATGTCCCTCTATGTCCTTCCGTGTCCCCCTATGTCCCTCTATGTCCTTCCGTGTCCCCCTATGTCCCTCTATGTCCTTCCGTGTCCCCCTATGTCCCTCTATGTCCTTCCGTGTCCCCCTATGTCCCTCTATGTCCTTCCGTGTCCCCCTATGTCCCTCTATGTCCTTCCGTGTCCCCCTATGTCCCTCTATGTCCTTCCGTGTCCCCCTATGTCCCTCTATGTCCTTCCGTGTCCCCCTATGTCCCTCTATGTCCTTCCGTGTCCCCCTATGTCCCTCTATGTCCTTCCGTGTCCCCCTATGTCCCTCTATGTCCTTCCGTGTCCCCCTATGTCCCTCTATGTCCTTCCGTGTCCCCCTATGTCCCTCTATGTCCTTCCGTGTCCCCCTATGTCCCTCTATGTCCTTCCGTGTCCCCCTATGTCCCTCTATGTCCTTCCGTGTCCCCCTATGTCCCTCTATGTCCTTCCGTGTCCCCCTATGTCCCTCTATGTCCTTCCGTGTCCCCCTATGTCCCTCTATGTCCTTCCGTGTCCCCCTATGTCCCTCTATGTCCTTCCGTGTCCCCCTATGTCCCTCTATGTCCTTCCGTGTCCCCCTATGTCCCTCTATGTCCTTCCGTGTCCCCCTATGTCCCTCTATGTCCTTCCGTGTCCCCCTATGTCCCTCTATGTCCTTCCGTGTCCCCCTATGTCCCTCTATGTCCTTCCGTGTCCCCCTATGTCCCTCTATGTCCTTCCGTGTCCCCCTATGTCCCTCTATGTCCTTCCGTGTCCCCCTATGTCCCTCTATGTCCTTCCGTGTCCCCCTATGTCCCTCTATGTCCTTCCGTGTCCCCCTATGTCCCTCTATGTCCTTCCGTGTCCCCCTATGTCCCTCTATGTCCTTCCGTGTCCCCCTATGTCCCTCTATGTCCTTCCGTGTCCCCCTATGTCCCTCTATGTCCTTCCGTGTCCCCCTATGTCCCTCTATGTCCTTCCGTGTCCCCCTATGTCCCTCTATGTCCTTCCGTGTCCCCCTATGTCCCTCTATGTCCTTCCGTGTCCCCCTATGTCCCTCTATGTCCTTCCGTGTCCCCCTATGTCCCTCTATGTCCTTCCGTGTCCCCCTATGTCCCTCTATGTCCTTCCGTGTCCCCCTATGTCCCTCTATGTCCTTCCGTGTCCCCCTATGTCCCTCTATGTCCTTCCGTGTCCCCCTATGTCCCTCTATGTCCTTCCGTGTCCCCCTATGTCCCTCTATGTCCTTCCGTGTCCCCCTATGTCCCTCTATGTCCTTCCGTGTCCCCCTATGTCCCTCTATGTCCTTCCGTGTCCCCCTATGTCCCTCTATGTCCTTCCGTGTCCCCCTATGTCCCTCTATGTCCTTCCGTGTCCCCCTATGTCCCTCTATGTCCTTCCGTGTCCCCCTATGTCCCTCTATGTCCTTCCGTGTCCCCCTATGTCCCTCTATGTCCTTCCGTGTCCCCCTATGTCCCTCTATGTCCTTCCGTGTCCCCCTATGTCCCTCTATGTCCTTCCGTGTCCCCCTATGTCCCTCTATGTCCTTCCGTGTCCCCCTATGTCCCTCTATGTCCTTCCATGTCCCTCCGTGTCCTTCTGTGTCCCCCATGTCCCCATTGTCACCTGCAGCAGGTAGCGCCGGGACAGCTCCAGCCGTGTCACCGGGGCCAGCCCGGCCGCGTGACAAACGGCCACCGCGTTGGTGGACGCGGCCGTCGAGAAGTTCAACCTGGTTGGGGACAGGG